AGGCTTGCTTGCCAGCTCCAGGGCACTGAAGAGGATCCAACTCAATAAACAACATGGATGGCTTCTGAGGTGTCCCAAGGCAATCCTCTGGCCTTCTACACCCACCCATACACGCACACACATTATAAAACCTAGCAGGTACCGGATGCATGCATGGTCAAGGAGCCAACATTTCCAGTTCAAGCCAGTTCCAAGCTCCATTCTTGAGAACTGATGAGAGGGTGGTGCGGCACTGCTGCGGGGTCCATAGCACCAGAAAGGGCAACAAGATGGACTTTTCTGAGGGAAAAGGGAGCTGATGTCCGGCTAACGGTTGAGAGTTAGAAACAAAAAAAAAAAAAATAGCCATTTTGGAATTCCTTACACTTACCAGGAAATATGGCAAGCACTCAGCATTGCTTAATGCAATCATTGAAGTCTGCTGCCCCAGGAGTTGGGTCATTGTCTGGCAGACCTGCAAATCGGGAGCTAGACACTAAAGCACTCCCCACAGGTGTTTAGGAAAAGCAAAGCAAAAGCAAAGCAAAGATCATAGGTTGTCACATACTGCAATGTTAAATGTTTGCCTTGGGGATTTGTGCTTAACTTGGCAAACAGTAAAGACCTTTTCATATCAGGCCATCTCTCCACAGAATTGAGATGTGTTGGCTTTATCTAGAAACCAAGTGTCTGAGGCTTTTTGTTGTTCCTCTGACAGGGTCTCCTATAGACAGGACAGGCCTCAAAGTACTTGTAGCCCTCCTATTTCCCAAGTGGTGAGGCTTTTCTAATCACATTTGGCACATAAATGCAGGAAGAAAAGATTAAACAATGGCTAAACTGAAGTGATCCACCAACAAAGTGATAATAAATTGCAAGCCCCTATCTATCACCAGAAAGCGTGTCATTTACAGGTTCTTGTCACAAACTGGTAACAAAATAAACGGCTATGAGAGTTGCTGAGCAGCCACTGAGGGTGAACAGGGCCATCCTGGGTGTCCAGAGTGTAACTTCCACAGACATTTCCCATTCATTGTAAAAGAACATCTTTGCATGAATTTTATGATTGTAAAAGTAATACATGCTCACTACAGAAAACTTGGGAAAAATGAAGAAAGCACAAATATGTATATCACTAATTCCTAGCCCTCTGCCACAACCCATGCTGCCTTCTGCCACACACTATAATGTTTTAATAAAGTGTGAAGAGTCTCCCTGTATAATGACTCTATTGTCTGGGGCCCGCAGGCTTCTTTGCACACAAACTGTCAGAGCTGGTCACATCTACCTGGTCCTCAGCTCCCTTATCCATAACCTCTTCTCATCCTCTCTTTAAGAATGACTCTTCACATGCTTCCTTTCTTTCTAGCCTGAAAGCAGGGACCAGGCTTTCCTATATCTGATGTTAAGTCAGGAGAAAGGTCAAAGCATAATCTTTAGGTTGGCTCTCAAGTTGGTAGGCAAAGTTGTTGGCTATTCATGCTGACTGAAGCATGGAAAAGCTTCCCTGTAATTCATTCGCTCTGTAAACTTTATATATTTTGTAAACATTGCAAACCCCCAAGACAACACAGAGAGAGAGAGATAGAGAATGCCTGAGGAGCTTCACAGCCAGGGACCTCCCACAGACCTCTCTAGCTGTCATAATGGTGTTTCCAGGCTCTGTAACTGTCACAAAGGTCATCTCCAGCCCCTCAATAGGACCCTTCCCAGATTATACTAATTTTAATTAGTCATCAATCCCAGAGCAGGTTCACCCACCATCCCTGAGCTCCCCCAAGCTCAGGACTTGAAACCCTACCAATCTTCACCCTGGAAAAATCTCTGCCCTAGAAAGCTCTACCCCCTAAGAACTCCTACATAAAGGTTGTGTCTGATGTCCGAGCAGGGGCAGCCAGCCCTGGATCCATCACTTCACACCCTGGACCTTCCCAATAAATCTCTGCCTGGTGTGACTCTTTCATCAGAAGAAGCCAAGAAACAATTAAGAGAAGATGGGAAGAAGTGAAGTAAGGCTGCTGCTCCTGACTCCTCAGCTCAGCTCACCCTCACCTGGGAGCTGTAACACCTCTGCTGAGGAGGCTTCCTTTCAGAGCTGTGTGGTTCCTGGACTCCAGAGTCCCAGGACACCCTTCCATCTAAGCAGGAAGGCCAACAATCGTATCAGTCATGTTTCCCACTGCTGTGACAAAATTCTTGAGACAAACAACTTAATGGAGGAAACATTCCAGAAAGTTCTATCTGAGAAATGGAGGTTCAGCTTGGGGCCTGAGTGAGGCTGACACCACGGTGGTATAATTGCACAGCAAAGGAGACTGCTTACCTCACAGAGCCAGGAAGCAGCCAAACAAATGCTCATCCCCAGCTGGCTTCCTCCTTTGCTCCATTTTTGATCCATCTGGATCTCAGTCTGTGGTATAGGAAACCCTGTCACTCAGGGTGAGTTTTCTCAGTTTGACCTCTTTGGAAATGCCACCACAGATATGGCAGTGTATTTCCTAGGCCATCTCTGACTCAATCAGGTTGACTGAAAGACTAAACATCACAGACACTTTGTGAGCAATGGGGCATTCAGACACAGGAGAATAAAGATAACCTGGAGAATCCTTGTAAGAAAGAGAACGACCCTCTTTTGTCAAAATGGTCTTCTCTCAAAAAAGAACCCTGGCTTCAGATAATTTTTCACTTCTCCAATCAGCACTTATTTTCCAAGCACCTCTGACATGAGAGTTACAGGACAAAATGACAAAATGACAAAATGAATGGCAAGGAGACTTTCTTGGTTCTATTGCCAGTGAGAAACTATTCCCAGAGTGAAAGACTGGACCTATTGATCATTTGATTCCTTATTCTCAGTTTTACAATGTGCATGAGCCTAATGGTGTCAGTAGAGAGGGCTTGAAGAACAGGGGTCTGGATAGAACATTTGGCTTGGGTCCTAAATCTGGGCTTCAGACACTGCTGCAGGCTGGGTTCCCACCTCTCCATAAGGTGATCTCAGGCTTCCTGCTTTGCTTGTGGTAATTTGGCTTATGAAGAGGCTGGTCTCCCCTCAGAATGCAAAAGAGGAAGCTGTCAGGGCTTCTAGAATGGGCACAGTACACTTCCACCATATTCCGATGGGCAAAGCATGTCACAATATAAGCCTAGATTCCAAAGCGGAAGAGTGCACACAGGGTTTGGCTATGAGGATGGGAATTCACTGGGTGTGCTACCAATGGGCTGCCATAGAAACTCAACATCAAATATAACTGAGGGACACTAACTGCACTGTCTTTTCTGCTACACAGCGCGCAACCCCACAGACCTTCCCCTACCGCTACTGTTTCTGAACGTCATCCAAATTCAGCTGTTTCTCATGTCACCGGGTGGTCGTTAAGCAGATCTGCCCCAGTTCTAAGCCTATGTGGCTGTCTAGCTTTAGCAAGCCAATATCTGGGGAAGAAAAGAACTCAGGACTCACTCAAGACAGCGATGTTGAGCTCCTGCTGCCAGCAGCTATGGGGTTGGAAGGAAGAAGTCCCACTAGCCCTCAACACCTGCTGTCAGGTCTGCCATTGCTGCCTGCATTCTTTCTCTCCCGGACGCTCCTAAACTCCCTATCTCTACAGTTCTTGGTGACAGAATTTCCCGGTTCTCAGAATGACTCGTCAGATCCCCCAGTGTTTTGATAGCCTCTTGTGTTCTCTATCCTTGTTGACTTTTCCAGTTCCCAAACTGAATGCTGTGTTCTAGGAGTGACCGTGCACAGTGGGGGTTTCAGAACTGTGGCAAGGGAAGCCTGGGGAGCAAGCTAGTTGGTAGGAAGAAGGGACTAAGAAATTTATTCTTGAGAAAAATTGTTTGGAGATGGAGACTTAATATGCTACCCAGGCCAGCCTTGAACTCATGCCTTCAAGTGATCTTTCCACTGCATTCTCCCAAAAAGCTAGGACTAGAAGAATGCACGTTACTGCACATAGATGCTCTTTCTTTTATGAGTGATGAGAAAGTAAGGATGGGTCACCAAGACATCAGTGCATTAGTCGTGAAATTGTTAATAAAATATATACTTAGTTAAAGCAATTAAATGTAGATTTGGAATGGATGCATAGTGGCCTTTAGAAATGACTCCTAAGTCTATAGTCTTGGCATGTACAGACGAAAGCAAAAGTTACCTGGGTTCAGTAGAACAGAATTCAGTGGTGGTGTCCACCGCTGTATTTTTCACATTGCTAACTGCCCATCAATGGTTCCATGAAGAATTATTCCGCTTCAGTTCCAGAAATCGGATCACATGCATCTAAGCTGTAGTTCTACTATTTATCTTGGGCAAGTTACTCAATTCCCTCTGTTTTCTCATCTGTGTAATGAAAACTGTAACAGCACTAACCCAGGGCCCGCGAGATGGCTCAGCACATAAAGGTGCTTGCTGCCAGGTTTGATCGCCCGAGTTTGATCCCTGGAACCCACATGGCAGAAAGAGAGACTGGCTTCCTCAAGTTGTCCTCTGACATGACGCATGTTCACATCCAATAAATAAATAATACCACCTATTGCATACAGTTGTTGAACTAATGATATTTTCAAAAAGTTCTTAGCACCTCTGTTGATTATTATTCTGTTGCTGTGAAGAGACACCGTGGCCAAGGCAACTCTCATAAAAGGAAGCATTTAACTGGGGCTTGCTTACAGTTTCAGAGGCTTAGTCTATGACCATCACGGCAGGAAACAGACAGGCATGGTGCTGGAGCCGTAGCTGAGAGCCTCACATCTTGATCTACAGGCAGTAGGCCTGGGAATGGGGGGGAGGAGGGGGAGAGGAAGGGGGAGGAAGAGGAAGACAGAGACTGGGTCTTGCATGGGCTTTTGAAATTTCAAATTGCATCTCTAGTGATACCCACTGTCTTCAACAATGACAAACCTTCTAGTCCTTCCCAAACAGTTCAACTAACTGGGGACCAAACATTCAAATATATGAGTCTATGGGGCCATTTTCATTCAAACCACCATAGTACCCAACAAGTCGTAAGCACTCTCAGTAAATGTTACTGTTTTTATTCTGTAAGTTATCATCATCCTGCAGATTTTCAGCAATATTTCTTCTGAGTGTCTTCCTTTTTAAAGGTGATTTTAGGACAATGACATCTTAAGACCATGAGAAATTACAGACACTTTGCAAGCCAGCTTCTTGGTATCTTGGAAAGAAAAGGTATCAATAGCAAATAGCAAACCATCGAAAATATATACATTTTAAAAATACTTAAAGTGTCAATTATTCCCCCAAGCCTCAGAAGTTACACATTAGAAATGCTTGAACTGAGAAAAGAACTTTCAGGACATCATGTATGTTAAATGTTTTTAAGGAAGTGTGCATCTGTTGGGCTGGGGTAGGTACCAGGCCCACCCCCAAAAAAGTTTGGGTGCCAAGAAGTGGGTTTTCTCAGAGTCCATTGACGGCAATGGGCAAGCCTGGAGGTACTGGCACAGCGCATTAACTGAACGCCTTACTAATAGCGAGGTGAATAACTTTGAAATAAAGTTTTAGACAAATAAAAAAAAGCTGGGTTCATTGGAGTATAGTTATAATCTCAGTGCTGGAGAGGAGGCAGCAGATCTTTGGGGCTCACCAGCCATCAAGCATAGCTGAATCTGCAAGCCCCAGGTCAGGAAGAGCCTGTTTCAATGGAAGGGTGGGCGGTGCCTGGAGAACAGTCTCTGAGGCCGTCCTCTGGCGGCCACAATCATGCATATGCGTGTGCATGTACACACACAGGCGCAATTTAGAGGAGGTAATTTGTATAGGGAAGAAATGAGATCCAGCTAACCAGTGTAGAACTTTTACTTGGGATGCAGAGATATACACTTCCAGAGTGACTTTTCGGCCTTCAGTTGCCCTCTGACATTCTCTCTTCTGGTGCAGTCACATGAGAGTCAAAGAGGTATCCGATGAAGCAGGACAGAGCAAACAGGATGCCCAAGCATCCTGTCACATGGGCCCTGCTCTTCTGGACTTACAGGATTTTGTTGGCATAGAAGAACAGCAGGACCTCTGGATGATAGTGGCTCTGAAATTAGAAGTCAGAAAAGGTACATGTGAGGGAGGTTGGCATGGGACACTGGGAGAAGAAGCAGGAGTGGAAGCAGCCTGAGCAGCTTGAGCTCAGCCAACGATAACATTGTGTATCACCTTCCAGGCATCTTTCCATTTGCATCTCCATTGCAACTGTACTATTAGCCTGAGTTATTTTAGGGGGTAGTGGGAGGGAACTTCCTGCTACACTGGGTCGCTTCCGGTGTTCAAGGCCTGAAGGTGAGGGACTCACAGGAGAATTCTTTCCTGCTGTGGCTCACTCACCAGCTGCCTGGAAAGCCTGGGGTTCCTCTGATCTTCTTCGCTTGGGAAACGCTGCTCCATCCTGGGTTTCAGATATGGAACACAGGCTTGAACAGTCATTCTGCAAGCCTGAGGAAAATAGCATTGCCATCCACTTGCCTAAACTATGAGAGAGTTCTAGAATCCCAGGTGGGGAAGGTGATCTCAACGAGCTGCAGCCACTCTACGGCCAGGGCCACTGAGGCTTGGAAAGTAATTGTCAGGTCACTCGTGAATGGATCTTAAAGGAGCTCTGCTCACAAAAATGGACATGACTTAGTCTGTGGCACATGGAGAGGGCACAGCTGTGCCATGTACATAGCTCCTCTCACAGTTACACCACATCCGAGAACTCCCTCCCTCCCTCCTCTTCCAAAGTAATCTTATAGAGTCCTTTGCACCCACTGTTTTTGAAGCACTCACCCAGCCCCATGATCCTTTGGGGACTCGGCCTTTACCTATCTATCTAGCATTGGCAGGTGTTGGGTGAGGCAGACAAATGGGGAAGGACAAATGGGGAAGACGGCAGACTGAAGGCCCCTTTGCCCAGCTTTACCTAGGTATTTTACAGGCCATTCTAACTGGCAGGAGCTTAGGGGCCTGACTTCTCCAGTTACAGAGCTGCATCCCCCTCTAGGGACAGCAGAGATCTCACAAAGTGAGAAAAGAATGGCAGGCTCACCTTGGCAACCTGAGGGCTTTTGTCCTGTAAATGGGTCAGGAGGGAATCTCCTGTCTGGTTAACCTGGTGGGTGAAAAATTTCTTCCACTTCCTTCCAGCAAATGCAGCCAATTGCCCAAAGAGAATGAAGGCCAAGTACCGCATACTGTCATTTTCCTGTGGGTTTCCATCAACAACAAAAAACTAGAGCCAGGTCTCCATCATCAATCTCCATCACAGCAGATCACAGCCATCTTTCCGAGGTACACATTAAAGGGTGAGCATCCTACCCATGACCCTGTGTTTCCTAATCCATAAGTGGACATACACCACCGGCATTAGACACCTTGGCTTGTCTTTCAGTCTATATGGAAGCTGCTGACATGGCATCAGCCAAAGATTTCCTGCTTTCGTATCTCAATTCTTTGTTCCCTTTCCTTCCTCTTTCCCTCCCCCTTCCTGTCTCTCTCTCCTTCTTTCCCTCTCTCCCTCCTAAGTCCTTTCTCTCTCCCTCTCATTCCCTCCTTCTCAGCTCCCTCTTCTTCTCTTCCTCTCTCCCTCTTCCACCACTTTAGCCATATCGCCTCTCCCTACTATCTGAGTTTCTCCTCCCAATCAAAGAAATAAGATCCTATTCCTGCTCCCACGCTGACACCCCCACAGCTCTCCCTGCTTCTGTTCTCATCTGTTAGCTTCTTTGGGAGCCCATCACCCTCTTCTCTTCCACATAAACTGCTTGTTCCACATATCTGCTTTTCGAGACAGGGTCTCTTTATATAGTCCTGTCTGTCCTGGAACTCACTATGTCGACCAGGCCAACCTCAAAATCACAGAGAACAGCCTGCCTCTGCCTCTGCTGGGGTTAAAGGCACGCAACATCATCATGAAGCCTGGGTTCTCATTTCTAATCCAGGACAGTTTCACAGCCCGCAGTTTTGTGCTTACCCTTCCCACTTACATCATCCAATAAAGTCCTGGTCTGGAGGGTGATGTCTACAAAGAAGGAGCCCAGCCCTTGGCCCTGGATCTTGCCCAGCACGATGGTCAGGGTCTGCATGCTCTCGTGGATCACTTCAGAACTCACAGGATCATACAGACCTTTCACGAGGAGATCAAGCAGAACTTTCTTATACCGCCTCACCTGCTATCAAGGTTGGAAAAAACATTAGGATGGCACATAGAGACACACATCTACACATCCACTCCCACATATATGCACACATACATGTACATACCCACACACATACACACTCCAGTACACACACATACATGTGCACGCGCGCACGCACACACACACACACACACACATTTTTCAAACTGTAAAGCAACTTCACCCTTAATCTTCCAGTAGCCCAAGTTGCGTCTATGAGGCCTGGCTTTCCTTTTGTGGCTTTTTAACATATATCTGACTGTACTTTGCTTATATTCATCTCCACTATCCTCCCATCCTCCTTTCCCCCATTTCTCGTGCTGTTCCCCTTCCTCCTCACAACTACTTCTCTTGTGTTCATGCCATTCATATGTACAATATATAATAAAATGTATAATATACATGTTATACACACACACTTTCTTCTGAACCTGCCACAGACTCAGCCAAATAAAAATGCATCTAGTAATCCAGCACAGGGTTCCAGCTTAGTCTCAGAAGAACAGAAAGGACCAAGAGGAATGAGGCCTCTGAGTGATGGAGGTGGGGAGGTCCTTCAAGAGCAGAGGGTGGACCTCTTTCAAAGGTGGAACTCTTTCAAGAGAAAGAGTGTTCGGGGACCTTCAGAATGCTAGGTGCCTTTATAATGAAGAAGACATAAAATGGCATCAGTGTGGAGAGGGGCAAAGGAAGCCAGCATGGAAAATGTCTCTCACTAAACAAACAAGAATTACAAAAAAGCTACTGAAACTCTCAAAGAGAAAGATACCAACCCGAGTGAGTGCTGCCAACAGCTCTCAACAGTTTCCCAACGCTGACAGAGCTGAGACATGCTGGGCTGCGACGACCTTGAGCAAGTCACACCCTATATAATCTGTTCTCCTATGTATAAAGAGCCAGTGGCTTGCTTCTAGCCTGGTGCTACAAAAGTCACCAGATGTTTCTCCTGGTTGCTAAGCTACATTACGTAAGACTCCAGTAGAGCAGACAGGAGGGAGAGACACCTTGAAGAAAGGGTCGTCGTGTTTTGAGAGTGTGGATCCTGGTTGGGGGGTGGCCCCTAACAGACAGTCAGCAAGGAAAGAGAAACCTCAGTCCTACCATTGGAAGAGGCAGTTCTGCAAAAGCCATTCTTGAAATATGACCCGGAACTCCTGGAAAGCCCAGTCTCACCAACAGCGGTTTGCAGCCTTGGAAGATCCTGAGCAACTGGTCTGGATCTATACCCAAGGCCCCTCAACACAGGTGCTGCTGTTCACTGCTGGGTCTCCCTGTGGCTTGTTACAGAGTCAGCAGTTCATGGGGTACCCGCACCAGCTGTGGGGACTCTGCGCCCCCAGGGCTCAGAGCTCTTGGGAAGGCCGTCTGAATTCCACCTCCCCTACCTTCTCAGGAGCTTCACAAGCCACAGTGCCCAGGCCTCTCATCGCCAGACGGCGCTTTTTAGCGCTAGGATCCCGGGCTCTTTCTGCCAAGATGGAAAACACATTCTTCAAAGGCTCCCGTTTCTGCAACTTCAGTTTCCAGGAGACCTGGGTAGTCAAAAGCACATTAATTCAGAGGCCAGGGAGGTGGCTCAGTTGGCAATATGCTTGCTCACCAAGCATGAAGATCAGAGTTCAAATCCTCAGCACCCACAGAAGTGCTGGGTACACAGCAGGGCGTGTCTATCACCTTAGCACTGGGGAGACAGAGAAAGAACTGTAAAGCTTTAGAGTTCACTGGTCAGACAGCCCAGTCTAAACAATGAGCTCCAGTTCAGTGAGAGTGGAGTGCAAATGAAGAAGAGGCGTGTCTGGCATGCACTTGTGTGTGCGCGCACACACACACAGACACAAGAGACAGAGAATATCAACTCAAAAGGGCTCAGAGTAATACTCTGAACTCAGCCAAAATGTCTCTCTCTAGAGAAAATGCTGTTTTGCCTGTTCAAATTTGTCTTTCCTTCTAGACAACGAAAGCATGCCTGAGTGTGGGGTGTGTGTGTGTGTGTGTGTGTGTGTGTGTGTGTGTGTGTGTGTGTGTCCCTAGAGATTAAAGCGGAGCTTTGCGTAAACTGAGCCCTCACCTTACCGAGGAGCTACACCTCAACCTTTAAAGATGATTTACTTTTGTCAGCAAACATGTTTGTCTACATGATGAAGACACTGATACTGATGGAGAAAACAATGCAGGGGTGGAGTTGAGGAGTTCTGGGCAGAGACACACACAGCAATGAACTGTGTGACAGAGGCTAAGAGGAAAGCTGACTGTCCTCAAGACACAGGTCCCTTTTATAGTCTAAACCAGACTGTAACTCTCCTATCTGAAGAGTTCCCTTGACCCTCTTCCGACGCTTCCTTATTCTTCCGCTGTACTTCAAGATAAATCAAATGAATGGGGTGTTTGTACCCGGTTCCCTCTCCATACTTGTGCGGTCAGGCTGATGATCCTCCATCTCCATCCAGCGAAATGACAGACTCTGAGAGACCTTTCTCAGCAGTCACCTTCCTCTCCCCGACCCCTCACTGGAGTGTGACTCAATGGGCAACATCTCAACAAATACCAATTATACAAACATTTCATGACGTTTGAAGGTTGTTCCGATTTTTTAATTCATGAATCTGAGCAATTCAGGAGGAAAAAAAAAAAAAGCAAAAATTCACAATGGGGAAATACTGCACTTCTATGCAAAATCCTACACTTCCAAAGCTAAACTCTAAATAATCGCAAGATTAAAAGATAGATGGGGATATAGGCCACCTTTCTGCTGAGCAGATGAGCTCCAATGCCAAGAAGGCCCTGGTGTTCTTCAGGACACAGAGCAAGGCAACCCGCACTAGAGTCAGCCCCCAGACAATGAAAGACCTGACAAGGGGGACAGGAGATGATGGCTCAGTGGGAAAAGCACTGGCCATGCAAGCATGAGGATCTGAGTTTGAATCCCATGAGAAGACAGGCACAACAGCACTTGTCCATAATCCCATGTTTCTTATGACAAGATGGAGGAGGGTGGGGGGAGATTCCCCAGAGAAGAGAAACCCTGTCACAAAGGAGATGGATGGTGAGGACAGACATTAAAAGGTTGTCTTCTGACTTCCATGTGTGCATCATGACACAAGAGTAACTGTATTCACACTAGAATGAACACACACACACACACAGAGAGAGAGAGAGAGAGAGAGAGAGAGGGACAGAGACAGAGAGAGAGAGAGACATACACAGAGAGAATCAAAGATAAAAACTAGCCCTCATCCTTAGGAAGCAGGTACAGGTGCGGGGTCCAGGCCCAGCTGTTTCTCAGCACTGTGGATGAGATACTGTAACTTTCCAGCATCATTGCTATTCTGTTGTCACAGGACAAGCTCAGAAGTACAGCAAAACAGACCAAGAGGAGCAGCAGCTTGAGGCTCCTGGGGGTGGAGGGGCATTCCTCAGGTCCCCATTCTTCCATCCTATAGGCTCCTTGTATCACAACCACTCAAGAAAGAAAATTCAGGTTCTCGGCCCTCACTCACAGAATACCTCAAGCGTTAAAGTAAATATTTATTGCAGTTTTTCTTTTTTCTTTTTTTTAATTTTTTGAGTTAACAGCACAATGAATCCTTCTCATCCTCTCATAAGCATCCTCCATCCCTGTTGAAAGAACTGTCATCATACATGGCTTCCAGAAGGAACCCAGACAAAGCCGTTCAAGCTACAGAGTAGCAGGCTCACATCTTACATAGTGAAGACTGGGAAAGGACACTGTGTCTGACCTTGGAGAAGAAAGAGAGCACTGATGTTCTTTTCTTCTTGGGCTGGGAAGTGGAGGTGGGAAGGAGCTGGCTCAGGATTCTCCGTGTTTGTTCCATGAAACTAAAATGGAAAAAGAAAATGGAAAAAAATCAGCATGTGAGCCACAGCCGGTGGTCTGAAGGCAGCCCTGCTGTTCCCTCTGTGGAATGTGCCCTATTGTGAAAGAGTACAAAGACAGTGGGAGCCTTTCACCTTGGTTTGGAGCCAGGAGTCACATGACAAGATCAAAGCACAGCACAACAGGAGCTCAGGCTCCTGCAGGTCATTCCTCAGGTCCCCATTCCTCCGTCCTATAGGCTCCTTGCATCACAACGATTCCAGAAATAAAACCCAGGTCCTAGGCCCTTACCCACAGAATCCTCAAGGGTTAAAGTAAGAAGTGGCTTGAAATTTGTGTTTCTTAAAGATCTGCAAAAGTGTCAATGGCATTTGGGGTGGGGGGCAGGGTCTCATGGAGCCCATGGTGACCTTAAACCCAAATTGGGGCTGAGAATGACCTTGAACTTCTGATTTCCCTGCTTCCACTTCCTGAGTGTTGGCATTAGAGGGGTGGGCTACCATGCCTGGTTGAACTGGTGGTGGAGATGGAACCCAGGGTTTCATGCATGCCAGACATTATGGTTGGTTTTAATGTCAACTTACGATAAATTAGGACAATCTGAGTAAGGAGCTGCTCCTGAAGAAGCGTCCTGGTTGTTATGACTGACGTGGGAAGTCCCACCCTGATCGCAGCTGCCACCCTCTGGTAGCAATCCAGACAAAAAGGAAAGTCAGAGGGGTGACCATCTAGCCTTTCACTCTCTTGGCCTCTCTGCTTCAGAATGAGTCGATCTGTACTATTGCTGCAGCTGCTCATGAGGGTGCAGCAGAGTCAGCGTCCCCAAGCTCCCATCACGGACTAGGAACCAGGGGCACCAGAAAGAGGCTTCGGAAACACCCTGTCTTGTGGACTGAGTGATTCCCTTCTGTTGGCCCCACATGAGGACAGCGATTGTGGGACTTCTCCAACTGCTGAAGCATCCAGCCTCAGGGACACAGTCACTACCAAGCTCTCGGCTAATGGCATAATGAGAACTTGGCTTGGTTTCCTGTCACTTGAGCTCTCTGGCTGCAGGAGAGAAGACTCCCTCCCAGGGCACACTTAGACTTCAGGTAATTTATATGCATCTGGAGCCAGGCAGTTTTATTACTCAGCTCAGTTTTTTTTTTTCTTTTCTTTTGTAAATTTGCCCCAAAATGCTAAAATAACCAGCTGTTATTCTCCTGATTTTTTTCCAGAAATGTTCAGAGGTCTCATGCGCAGAATCACTAAATTCCACACACCCACAGAAATGAATCAAAAATGCGATTATCTCAATGAGTGCGTGCATGCCATGGACGTCCAGCTCTCATGCTGCCCGAGGGGTCTTTAGTGACCGTAGGCTGCTTCCGGCTGGAGAGCCAGCTTCGTATGATACTAAGCCCACTAAAAGGACTCAGCTTTACAATTCTGTTGCTCCAGCTCCACAATTTGACCACAATTTGTTTTAGTCAGGCTCCTCTAGAGGAACAGAACAAAGAGAGGTCTGTGTGTGTGCGTGCATGTGCGTGCGTGCGTGTGTGTGTGTGTGTGTGTGTGTGTGTGCGTGTGTGTAGTGGTGGTGGCGATGGTGGTGGTTTGAATGAGAATAGCCCTCATGGGCTCATATGTTTGAATGTTTAGCCCCTAGTTGTTGGAACTGTTTGGGAAACATTAGGAGGTGTGGCCTTGGTGGAGGTGTGGCACTAGGGGTGAGCTTTGAGTTTTTCAAAGCCCATGCCATCCCAGTGTGCCACTCTCTGCCCAGTGGTTGCTGCTTCAACATATAAGCTGCCGGCTACTGCTCCATTGCCAGGCCTGCATGCTGCCTCATGCCTGCAATGATGCTCATGGACTCCAGCCCTCCGTTACTATTAGCCCCAGATTAAATATGTTCTTTTATAAGCTGCCTTGGTCATGTGTTGTCATAGCAATAGAATACTTTTTATACACACACATATTCAAATCCTTTATTCAGTTTTAATTACATTATCTTGTTTTAATTTCAGGAATTCTTTATCAATTCTGAATACTAAGCTCTTAGATATGTTATTTTTCAAATATTTTTTTCCACTATGTGGACTGCCCTTCTGCTTTCTTGGTAGTCCCTTTGATATTCTAAAGCTACTTTTGATGCCAAATTGCTTGCCAGAGTTATTTTCTCTACCCATGCTTTAAAATTTATATCTAAGGACTTGTTACTAAGTACAAGGTCAAGAATATTTGTTGTTATAGTTCAAGTGTTTTACAGTTTTTATTCTTAAATTTAGGTCATTTGATTTTGGCAAGATGGTTTGGTTTGGATTTTTGAGATAAGGTTTCACTGTGTATCCCTGGCTGACCTTGAACTTCCAGCAATTCTCTTGTCTCTGTTTTCTGAGTGCTGGAATCATGGTTACACACCTCCACACTCAGCATTCGGTGCTCCTTGCTTAATATGGTGTGAGGTACGGCGTTTCTTCAGTGGCAACTGACTTTGGGACATTCTGCAGCTTTAACAGAAGAGGCCCACAGATCTCTGCAGGCGGTTCCCAACCCTGGATGTATCAGGATCACCTGCAGAATTTTCAAAGCCCAGTGTCCTTGCTGTCCCAGGACAATGCTATCATCGTCTCTGGAGGTGGCCTCAGCATCAACCAAATAGCCAATCACTGAGCGAGAGTGGCCAGTGGCCAGACACCTGCCTTGGTTTGCCTGGTGTTGAGGAGCTTCCTGAAGTCAAGGGGCCCCGGGGAAACCTGGAACACAGTCCCACCCAACAGGTCCCAGCCCTTTTAGGAGGCCATATTCGTTTTCCCTGTCATTTTTGTCATGAAAATGCATCTTTTAGCTACAGGTAGGTGTCTAGTAGCCATTTCCTCCAGGGACATATTCTCAAATGGGTTATCCAATCCCAAGTGGTCAGCTCTGGACACAGACACAAGCAATGCTAAATGAATTCAGTGGGTTGTATATATGTGTGTGTGAATATATGTGTGTGTGTGTGTGTGTGTGTGTGTGTGTGTGTGTGTGTGTGTGTATCAATAATAAAGAAGTCAGCATGAGTCTGGGAGGGAGGTGGGGACACAGGAGGAGTTACGGCAGGAGGAGTGCTGGGAGTGATACGGTGCAGTGCTTATTCATGAATTTCTCAAAAAAATATCTTTTAAATAAACAAAAACCCCTCTTTCCTCCCTAGCCTCCAGTCTCTCTCTCTCTTTTTTTTTTTATTGCTCCCTCATCCCTATTGCTCCCTTTATCCCTATGATGGGGACTAAAGTCAAACACAGGACAAATGGAGATGAGGTGATGGCAGTAGAGTGCTTGTTGCACAAGATGAGGACCTGAGTTTGAATCCAGCACCCATGAAAAAGCCAGGCATGGCAGAACACCCCTGAATCCCAGTGTTTGGGAGGCAGAGAGAAGATCCCTGAGGCTTGCTAGCCAACCAGTTTCACCAAACTACTGAGTTGCAGGTTCAGTCAAAAACCTTGTCTCAAAAAAATAAAGTGGAGAGCAACTAAAGAAGGCCCTTAATGTTAACTTCTGACCTTCACATGCAGCATACACACACACACACACACACACACACACACACACACACACACACACA